TTTAATAAACTTTGCAAAATGAAAATAATATTATTCTAAATTTGATTGTAAATCAGGATTTTGGCAAATAAAAATGGAAAAATATAGTATATAATATACTGCATTTAGTACACCTCAAGGAAAATATGAATGTTTAGTGATGCCATTTGGTTTAAAAAAATGCACCAAAAATATATCAAAGAAAAATAGATAATATATTTAAAAAGTTTAGTGAATTTCTAATTATTTATATATATGATATACTTATATGTTATAATAGTAAAGAAGAACATAGAAATCATTTAATCCAATTCATAAATGAATGTAAAAAAGAAGGAATTGTATTTTTTAAAAAGAAATCTATAATAGAAAAATAAGAGATAAATTTTCTTGGATTATCAATAGATAAAAAGAGGAATAAAATTGCAGACTCATATATCTAAAAAGATAGAAAGTTTTCCAAATAAATTAGAATCAAAAGAACAAATACAAAATTTTTTAGAATGTTTAAATTATGCAAATATTTCTAAGAAAAAGCATAAACTACAAATTTTGTTAAGAAAAATAAATACTAAATGATGGAATGAAGAACATACAGAAATAGTTAAATTATTAAAAAAAGAATGTAAAAATTTACTAAAATTAAGATTACCAGATGAAAAAGATAATTTAATTGTGAATACAGATGCCTCAAATAAACATTGGGCAGCAATATTAAAAACAGATTTAAATGAGATTTGTAGATATTCAAGTGGAACTTTTAATCAAGCAGAAATAAATTATACCACTCATGAAAAAGAATTACTAGTAATTATTAAAGGAATAAAGAAGTTCTCATTATTTTTATTATCTAAAAAATTTATTGTTAAAATTGATAATTCTCAAATTGCAGGATTAGTCAGAAATAAACTACCATCAAAACCTCAATATAGAAGGCTTCATAGATGACAAGCTTATTTGGCATTTTATAATTTTGATATAGTTCATATTAAAGGAGTTAATAATTTTCTTGCAAATTTTCTCAGCAAAAATATAGAATTTACTGATATATAAAGCCAGGGTCATGGAATTGTACTAATCTATCCTACATATACAAAAAAGGACCGATTTTCTTAAAGAAGAATATGAAGATATAAATACTGGAGTTAACAGATCTCAGAGATATTTAACTCAAATATAAAAAATATTGTTGAATATCAGTACTGAGCATCATAAAAAAGCCATAGAACTAAAAAATCAAGTTGATGCTATTGCAGCACAACTAAAAGATATACTGTTTGAGACAGATATATCAAAGAGCTTAGAAATAAGTTTTCCAAATCAATACCAAATAGGGACAGTTGGAAGCAGTAGTGGACCCATACGTGATAATATATCAATTGATAAAAAAGGAGATTCAACACCAACTAAAAAAGTGGTGATACATGGAGATAAATAAAGATTTCAAAACTATCAACATCATAGACCAGGATGAAATAATCCCTTTAAATCCAAAAGAAAAAGAGTATGCTTAAAATAGTCAGAATTGCTTATGAAATAAAAATAAATGATTCATATTTCATCTCTCCGAGAAATAATGTTTATCCCAGAATAACAGTCATGGAAGGAAGAGACCATTCGTTATAAAAATTATGGCAGACTATGGATTTATAGATTTGATATATCCAGGGAAAGATTTGATTGAAATTTTGAAATTTAATGACATATTGATAAAAGAAGCATCAAGATTTGTCAATGGACGAAGAATATATTTGAAATTTTATTCAATAAGTCCTGAATATAATGGAATTGTTTTATTATCCAGTTGAACACATAATCTCAATTGGATATGTTGCAGCCAACTTCCAAATAGATGTAGTGGAGAATGATAGAAATGTTCCAAAAGTCACAAAGTCATGGATCAAACATAGAAAAGCACTTGAAATTAAAGTTATATACAATATTATTAAAAATTTGTTTAATAAAAAATTATCATGCTTATGCCAATATGAAAACTGGATGCTTGTATCAAATGAAAGATATGGAAAATCAGAAATCTTGAAGGACTACATTACAAGATTCGAAATACATCAATTTCTAGGATATCCTACCACTATAAAAGAATCCTGCCAGCTAAGGGAGTGCCCCAACTGCATGTGAAGATATGAAAAATAGATAACAATAATAAAGAAAGATACTATTTGGATAAAAAGTTGAAAAAACATGTGGAGATATAAAAAAGAGGACAATAATAGAAGCTCATTTAATAAAAATCAGATGTTGCATGTGAAGATCTAGGTCAAAGGAGGACAATAATAGAAAGGTAAGTGTACCTTTACTGATGTACTGAATTATGCAATAGATCAATAATAGAGCCTCATATATTTGTATAAATGGAGGCATTGTAATAGATATAAATTATCTTGAAATCTCGAATTGTAATCAATAGCCACTCTTAAGCCATCCTGAGTCTGAAAAATCATTTTTTTTTTTTAAGAAAATTTTTGTATACCAAGTAGAAATCTTGTATAAGTTATGATAGAAATAAATTTCCAATATATTGATATCAATATGAGTTTCTAAATCTTTATTTTCATAGATTCTTGAAAGATCTAATAAAAAGTTTCCTTCTTATTTTAGCAAAAATAGAGTTTTTCTTTAACAGAAATTTATAATTTTATTCTTTAGAATTGATACAGTGAGAGCAAGAAGTTGAAATAGTAAAAGTTCCATGAAGGTAGGAGGCCGTTGAATGAAGTAATTTACACATTCAAAGCTCAAAGGTAACTCGTTTCTAAGGACAAAGATCCAGATCAAAACTAAGGTAAAACTTTTAAATTCTTGTTAAAATTAGAATGAATCTTTTTAGATCTTAGATAATCAAAGGGATTAATTGATGATTATTTGTATTAATGTCAGGATATACAATTGAATGATTAGATAATTTATTAGAAAAAATAAAAAATATTATTTCTCAATTAAAAAATATGAATGCATCTTTTGAAGAATATAATATATTTAATGAAAAATATGAACATATGTTACAGATTATTTCAATCTACTTAATCAAAGAATGGATTTATATGCTAAAATTCAAAATAGAATAAATATAAGATAAAATAGTTTAAAAGATTAGGATAAATATTGCAATATAGAAAGAATCATTTCATTAAAGACGATATAGACTTTTCCATGAAAAGGAATAGTAATAGGCCAAATACAAAAATCCCCCGCATTATTTGGTGATTAGAATAGGTAGACTAGTGTTGATTTATACATTTATAGTAGTTTAATAAGTTTTCAAAATCATTTAGGGAAAATTGTAGTAGAGGCTCCAAACTTTTAATTCGTTGCAACCGTCACCTCAAGCCTTTTGAAACATTGCGGTGGAGGCCCTTTTGGACGGTTTTCATCCAAATGTTTGTTAGTGACTAAGAATTTTGACTTTGACCATATTTTTAATATTTTTGAGAGGGTAAAATAGTGATTTCCATTTATTACATTAAAATAAGTGAGAAACTAAATTAGAAAAAATAAGAAATTAAAAAAAAAAAAAGCTAGTCGTCTTCTTCCTCCCACCCCCAAACCCAAAATCAATTACCGCCACCTCCGCCTCCACCTCCAATCTTTAAGTTGGGTTGCCGTTTTGCTGTCAGGGTACTCCACTCCCGCTCTCCTACAACCGATCGCTGCAGCACGCCGCTATCCCCTCTTTCTTTGGGTAGATTATAGAAACAATTATTCCCTCCAATGCAGCCTCACCGGACTTTGACCCCCATTTGGGCCAACCTGGAAACCCAGTATTCGACATCTCTACCTTTGAATCCGACAACCCAGAAGACTTCGTGGATATCAAAGAAGAAGAAGAAGCTGGTGACTTCAAAGAAGAAGAAGAAGAGCCGGAGCCCATGACTCCAGAGGCTTAAATTCACATGGATCCGACCAAAATGGAGGCCCTTCTCCAACGATTATCCACTGAGTGAGTCCCCATCCTGGTCCATGACGTCATAATCAAGGGCAATAACAAGAACAAGAAATCCTTGATTGAGTTTGAGGTGGTGGATCTCCTCAAGAAGGCCACTACTGTCCAGCAGCTGCTATGCGAAGGTGGAGGTGGAGGTGGAGGTGGCGGTAATTAATTTTAGGTTTGGGGTTGGGGTTGGGGTTGGGGTTGGGGTGGGAGGAAGAAGACGACTGCTTCTTCTTCTTTTAGTCAAAATTCTTAGTCAACTAACAGACATTTGGATAAAAATAAAGGACCTCCGTTGCAAGGTTTCGAAAGGATTGAAGTGACAGTTGCAACAAATTAAAGATTTGTGGAAAGTTTGCTAATGGTTTAAAAATTTGGGGCCTCTGCAATTTTCCCAATCATTTATGACTCATAATTAGTGCGACAATAGACATTCAATAATTGTACTTACCACAGTGGAAATAACATAATTAAAATTTTATTATGGTGATGCATTTAGTCAATCCTCTAATTTTCTAAATATAATTGAATTACACATATTGCTATCTGAATGTCTTTTTATTTTCTCAAAATAAAAATAAAATAACGTCTAAATTTGAATAATAAATATAATTTGAAAAGGAAGTATAAGCTTTGTTGAGTCAATTTGTCTAATACACTATGTTATTTAAATGAAGTTATAAACATTGCTTATTTGCCTTTGTCATTGTTTCGCAATTTTTCAATCAATTCATGATAAAAAAAAAATAAAAATGCCACTTTGCTCGAAAACATGTGATTGACCCTCACAAAAATGCACAGGTCTCACATGAATTAAATAATGTCCAACCCCCGATGTGTGTGTTCGGCCATCTCCAATATCAATTATTATGTTTCTCTAGCAAGATTCATTCATGATTGCATTGGGCATTACTCTTATATTACTCTCATATTGCAAAAAAATATATTACTTTTTTTTTTAAAGTCAACCAATAATTTTATTGAAAACAACCCTCACTTATGGCGGAGGAATGCCGTGATGACAAAATAGCCTTACAAATAGCGAATTTAAAAATTTTCTACACCAATCAACTCACTTATGTAAATAGAGAACTCCAATGCGGTCCAACCGAACAAGTCCTCGAGCCTGCTCAGGCAAGTCACCACAAGATGTAAATCTCTGCATTAACCCTTGTGCACCCATTTTTGCTAATAAATCCGCCACTTGATTGCCTTTCCTGAATTGGTGTGAAACCTATATCTCAAATAAACTCATTAAGTTTAATAACTCCTCCCAAAAATCCCACAAATACCAAACTGTGCATTTGCGTTTCAACATCCATTCGACAACAATCTTGGAATCACATTCAATATCAACATGAAAACATCCTATATGCTGGCAAAGTTTAAGTCCTTCAATAATAGCTCTCAGCTCAGCTTCATTATTTGATGCTATCCCAAAGTTAGTGGCAAACGCCGCTAGCACCATCCCTTTATCATTGCGAATCATTCCCTCTCCACCTGCTTGGCCTGGGTTTCCCAAACTACTCCCATCTACATTGATCTTTACTCTCCCAGCCATTGGTTTTTTCAAGTCATCAAATGTACAAGTGATCGTTTACTGACCACACAAGGAATGCCCATATCTTTTAGGATATTTTCCTCTTCACGTGTCAATATTCTGGTTTTTGAAATATTTTTTGCCAAGTGTTGTAGCCAAGAATTAATGGACGAAACAACAGATGCAACAGATTCATAAACTTCCTCCATTATTACTCTACATCTTCAAATCCAAAGCCTCCAAGTTACTAAACATGGGATTAACCCCAGCAAGCATCCTAGTTGAGAGGATCTCTTCGCTCGAGCCCACCAAATATTTATCCTATCCCACCAGGCTTGTTTTTCTCACCATCTAACCCCAAGTTTAGAGGATAGTTTCCTCAGCGAATTCTCCAGAACTTAAAATATGGTTAGCATCCTCATCATGGCCTGTTGTGCAGCAATTACACCGAGACACCATAGCCACTCCAACTTGACGTATCCTCTCATCTACAGTAAGACTCCCTGACATAGCCTTCCATATCACAATTGTCACAACTGAAGCCCTCTTAGGGAAAGCGTTATGCCATACCCGTTTCGCCCACTCCACAGTAGAAGACCTTATTTGAATCACATTCCAAGCACTACTAGTAGAGAATATTCCATGCGCATTTGGTCTCCAAATGAGAATATCCCTTCAAGGTTTTCGACATCCTATTTTCTCTATTATATTTGCAGCCATATTCGTCCCTACTAACTGACCCAATCTATCAACATCCCAGCCAGTTTCTAGGCAGATTTCCTGAATCTTCAAGCTTGGTTGAACAATTTGATCCACTCTTTGGCAAAGTAGGCCCTCCCCTAACCAGTTATCATACCAAAATGATATTTTTCCTTCCCTAATCTTCCATTGACTATTAGCAACTACATCAGGGAAGCAATCCACCACAGATTTCCAAAATCTTGATCCCACATGACCTAGCTTTTCAACATCCACCAAACCCTTCTTCACATATTTTGCTTTGAAAAAACGAGTCCACAGCGAATCAGCAGTAAGCAGTTTCCAAGCAAACTTCATGTGTAGAGACTTTTGAATTTTGTCAAACTTACGAATCCCAAGGCCTCCTTCCATCAGTGGTTTACAAATTTTCTCCCACGAGAACCATTTTTTCCTAGTCCTTCCATGAAACTCACCCCAGAAAAAAAGGATAATTTGGAATTTAACGTCTTAAAAACTGATTTAGGAACACTTAAAACGGATAGTAAGTGGGTTGCCATACATGACAAAACATGTCTCAATAGAACAAGATGACCCCCTTGTGACAATAGCTGCATTTTCCAGCTAGCAATCTTTTTTTGAACTTTCTCAACTAGAAAATGTAGATGGTGAGCCGTCAATCTTCCAACCACCACTGGTACTCCCAATTAGATTATTGGGAAGGAACCCTCTCTAAAAGAGCTTAATCGAAGAACCTCATAGTTGTGAATTGCCCCACAATGTTTAGCAAAGAATATAGCTGACTTCTCCTTATTAATAACTTGACCTGTCCATTTTTCATATAACTGAAAAGTCTCCATTAAAGGTTTCATCGATCTTTTACTTCCATTAGCAAAGACTACAATATCATCAGCATATAGCAAATGTGACACCAAAGGTGCACCACGAGGATGTGAAAAAGATCCTATGCATCCATCTTCGAATTTCTTTCTCAGTAACCTAGTCAACACCTCTTCCATGATAATAAATAGATATGGGGATATAGGATCACCTTGCCTCAAACCCCGAGATGGCTTAAAAAAACCCTTTGTGGTTCCATTCATCATAATGGAGAACCAAGGCGCAGATATACATTCAGAAATTAGGGAGCAGAAACTGTGAGGAAAACTAAAAGAGCACAGTACGTGTAGTAAAAAACTCTAATCCACTCTGTCATATGCCTTCGCCATATCCACTTTAACCACTACATTCTAGCCATGAACCTTGCGATTTAATGAGTGAACCATCTCTTGTGTTAAAGTGATGTTATCAAAAATGCTTCTCCCTGTGAGAAAAGCTCCTTGTTCATGAGATATAATTTTTGGAAGCAAGCTAGCCATTCTCTTTACCAGGATTTTTGAAAAAATCTTGTACGCCACTGAGCACAGACTAATTGGTCAAAACTTATCAAATCCTTGTGGGTTCTCCACCTTTGGAATAAGCACTATGTATGACGAAGAATAAAATCTTGGCAAAGGGCTACCACCCAAGAAATCACACGCAGTCTCCATCACATCCTTCTTTATTATATCCCAGCATTTAATATAAAAAGCAGAGCTGAACCCATCCGGGCCCTGCGAGCTATCCATCGGGATTGAAAAGATAGCTTCTCTTACCTCATCTTCAGTAGGTGCCTTACACAATTGATCCCCCTCATCAGAAGAAATAGTCTACCTAATAAACTCTGATAGGTCGGGTAGAGGCTCTATATGTGACTCTGTTAGGAAATTATAAAAATAATCTACCGCTGCATCATGAACCTCCTTGGGAGACGATAAAACCGTTCCATTTGACAAAATTATCTTCTCTATCCTCGAGCTTCTCCTTTTCTGTGCAATACTTGCATGAAAGAACTTAGTATTATTGTCTCCCTTCTTCAGCCACTTTTTTTTTGCCTGTTGTGACAGACGTATTTCTTCCCTTTGCTGCCATTGTAAGAGCTCTGATTTGAACTCCATAAATTCCTTTTCCAAAACCTCTTGCAATTCAGCCTCTAGTGTCTCTACCCTCTCTTCCAACTCAGACATCCCGTGCTCCACCCTTCCAAATATTTGCTTATTCCAGATTTTCAGAGCAATTTTTGTGTTTTTCAGCTTTGCAGCAAGCTTGTACAAACCCGTTAACCCCTCACCAATCCCATTTGAATTCCAAGCTTTCTCTACACACGGGATGAAAAACTCATGTTCAGTCCACATTCGCTGGAATCGAAAGGGAGGATGCCCGTAGTTTTCCATTGTCTTGTAAAACTAGACCAACATCGAGCAATGATCTGAAGTAGTTTTTGGCAAATATATCATTTGAATATCTGGAAAAAGTTGCATAGCATCAATATTGGCCAATACACGATCAAGACATGCCCAACTCCGACCTAAACCTTCTTGTCCATTACGCCCTATAACTTTCAACCTTTACAAGGCACCTCTACCAATCCACTTGTATCAATGCAGGTATAAAATTCTTCCATCGTCGCCAAGGGTCTTGGCCTCCCTTTCCTTCGTTCTACATCATTCCGAATTATGTTAAAGTCCCCCAACACTAACCATGGCAGACCAACCACTCGTAAACCTTCTAACTCCACCCAAAGACTCCTCCTCTCTAAAGTACTACATTTAGCATACACAAAAGTAAGCACCACGCTATGTTCTCCCTTTGTTACTATACCATGTATAGCTTAAGAAGATGCCCCAATCCACTCCATTTGAAAATCATCCCTCCAAAAAATCCAAAATTTGCCCCCTTCTTTCTCATTAGAGACACATCTGACATCTTTATTTTCCTAGCAAATGAATACATATGTTTTTCCTTGTGAAAAGGTTCTGCCACTGCAACTATAGCAATATCATGTTTCCTGACCAATTTTCTCAGCCTTCCTTTAGACGTGTCGATCCCTCGCACGTTCCACACCACTAGCATATCAGGCATAAATCTAGTTTGTAAGGGCGTGCTCGTGCCCTTTGCGAATGCCTCACTTTCTGAGTATGATCGTCATGGATGGGTACTAGAACATTCAACTCTGAATCTGAATTGTAATCTGCCCTTGCCGCACAGTTGTTTCCCCTCTCACCTACATCCTCTCCATCCGAAACCACAGTAATCATCTCCACATTCAAATTTACGTGCTCCTTAGCTTCAACATTTCCTTCTTCCAACCTGAATTCATCATGTAAAGTTTCCTTTTCTTGATCTTCTTCACCTCCATTCCCCCACCATGTTTTTTTTCCTTATCATAATTCTCGTTGGACATCTCCTCTTTTCGTTTCTTCGCCCCACTCGTTTCCTTTTCATCGTCTCCACCAACCTTTCCTTTCATCTTCATATCCCCTCCCTTATTCACCACCAGATCAACCAATTGTATAGGTCCCCTACTTTCCTCAATTTTATCATGTTCATCTAAATTTGGTTCTTCCCTTTAATCAACACTTT